ACGCGCAAGCTCGGTCCTGCGGTATCCAATAGCTCTGCATTGACCTGGATGATTTGATGTTTAGACATCACCTTGATTTGACCTAGGTTGATACAATACCTTCTCGGACAACATAACGAGAATACCGGACGCGCCAGGTGCGTTATCGAGCAGCCACTTGCGATCGCACGCGCTGTTCTCCGGCCAGAGAACAATCTAAGGTACAGCATCAGCATCGCATTCATCTATGTGAGAGACATTCTTACCTCTAACTCCGGGTACTTCGTGAGCAAAGGCATCACGTCTGGTCCAAGATCGCGGCAAACCACGATCTTATGGCGTTGGGGCATCTTGTCCGACTTCTTGTAGGTGAGGTGGGAGGTTACGGAACTCAGACGTTCTACAACAGTGTTCTTCAGGCTCTGGGTACTTGTGCTCATCCCAATCGTGTTGGGGGTTGTCTGTAGAAACGCACCATGCCCCGGCTGAGAACATGTACTCTTGAATAGAGGGCGGAAGGCCGGACGGAGACAATGCTCACGCGGTCCGCGACGCGTTGATCGACTGAGACGCTCGGGCCGCCCGGAGTCTCTGGTACGGGATTATAAAAATGCGTGCGCCATGGATGCGTTACAGGTGATTGCAAGGGGCAGCAGTACTTGGGTATATATAAGGACAAAATGCTTTGGCGGGAAAAAAAAACTGAATGTGGACGTAGATGTATATGCTACAAGATTGGATCGCGTGTATGTCGTCGCGTGGCTAACGATAACTATGATGCGAGGTACTCAAAGGGCATAAGGGTTCGTGATCTTCGTGTCATGCAAAGGCAAATACTAGTGTTAGCTTGGGCCAGGAGTCATCGATGATGTAGCAGACGAAGTGTCCTCGAAGTCGGATGATGAGAGTTCTTCAATCCCTCGGCGGTCTCGCTTCGGACTCGCCGCGTGTTGCACTCGCCGATGGTGTAGGTGAACAGGCCGCGTGGGCTCAGATTGCATCCGCGGGAGGGCAGTCGACTGCCCGGAATCGCCCTCGCCAGGGCTATCTGCATGCGCCTCTCCTCCACTAGGAGTTTGAGTTACTGGCGACCTCTGTGCCGCGGCTATTGAAGCCAGAGCATCGCGGTCGGCCAGCGCTGATAGTGCCTTCTCGGCTGAGGTGACCATCTTCTTCAGCGAACCTTACACACCATATCGTGAGTCTGAGAACAGGTAAAAAGTAGAATGATCAAAGTTCGACATACGTTCGAGGCTGAGCATGAAGAGGGTCTGTGCGCGCCGTGAGTGGGCGGTCTAGGATACAACAGGCTGCGACTGACCTTCCGTGCGTCCTCATCTTCCAGGATCTCTATCTTGACCCTCTCATTGATATGTTCCATCTCCGCCAACTCGTCTAGTAGCTTCTTCATGTCTGGTGGGACTTTGGGTACCCCGTTCGCATCTTCGCCGTCACCGTCCTCGAGAGGATTACTCCCTTCCGCCGAGCCAGAGACGAAGTACTGCATGTACTCTTGGAACAACCGTGCTCCTCGCACGATCTCTCCGGGTAGCGCCTCTAACGCACGCTGGGCAATCTCTTGAGACTCTTTGTAGCGCTCAGCGGTTGGGCGAGGATTGCCTGTATCGCTAGGGTTCCTCGTGCCTAGTGCTGTGTGATCGGAAGTACTGTCTTCCTGTGCGTTGTGCGAAGTCTCTGCGTCTGCACTTGGGCGCTGATGCCCTTGTTGCTGTCCCAGCACGGGCCTCGGACGCTGTTTAGGTTCTTGCAACTGCCGTTTGCGGTACTTTTTGACCGCCTTGTCGAATACACGAGAATGAAGTGCACTCTTGTACCGCGAAGAGCTGGCCTCCTGCAAGACTACACTACGTGTGGGCATGGTAGCAGCATAAGCAGTGGTTGACAAACTTACCTGAAACAACGATGGTCAGGGTACCGACGCCAAACAGAGCCCAGACGACGAAAATCGAGCGGCCAGCTGGAGTGACGGGGGCGAAGTCGCCATAACCAGTCGTGACGAAGGCCAAGAAGCCTGACAGACCGAAGCGAGATCAGCGCGAGAAATGGTACGGAAGTCAATGCAACCTACAGAAGTACATGGCGCTGCCGTAGGGCCATCCTTCTGTTGCAGAGAAAATACCGGATCCGACCTGCATATATGCACTATGAGTGAGCGTTTCGCGATGCACAACGTGATCTTCTCACCGTCCAGAACATGAAGAATAATATCCAAGCAATCGCAAGCTGGCAGTCACTTTGATCAGACACGACCTTCAGAGACGACCGAGTGCACGTACCTTGACATAGTATGCCTTCTTCTCCTCCGCCTCCATGTCCGACACGACATTCTCGTACGTCCAGGCAGAGCGCTGCGAAGCTCCACGCGAGAAGTCTTTCAGCCACTTCGTCGCAGGATGGTTCTTGACATCCGTGAACGAGGGTCGCCGTTCTGCAACATCCGCCTCAGGTGCAGCGTCGACCTGGCCATCGCTCGAGGATGCTGTGTTCCCTGCCTCCCGTGAGGGTGGTTCCCCTCCCTCCGGTCCTGTGGCGCCATTGTCTTCTGCATGTCCTCGTTCCTCATCGACCACATCAGGCAACAATCCCGGGGCATGAGCATGGCGGCCGGCAATCGCCACAGCAAACTTCGTCACCATTGCCGCCATCCGACCGACCTGCGCGTGCGTTGGCGTCTGCGGATGCGACGGCCACCCGCTGACGATATTGTCTCGGAATGCGTGCGCCGCGTGCGCGCGGGACAAGGCAGGCGCGATCCCGCCATGGTCATCTGCGCTCTTGGGTGGACTGCCGGTTCCATGCTGATGCGAACGCCTCTGCTTAGCTCGCTCTCCGAGATCGAGGAACATGTCGAGCGGGACCCCGGCTTCGAGGGCGGCCTCCTCCAGCTGCGCGTTCGTCAGTGCGTTCACGTTGAGGTGCATCCTGTGGTGGCCGGTCACGCGGGATTCAATAGAGGTGAGTGTGGCAGAGCGCTTGATGGTGAGTCCTAGCCGTTTCATGAATGGCATTCGGCGAGCGACGTCTGGTATCAGGTGTCGGCGGGTGCGCACGACCATCCCGTCCTCCTGCTCCTCCTTGTCGGACACCCATACAGGTAATCCGGCTTCGCGAAGACGGAACTCGACCGCACGTTGCCAGCGCGCCTCCCATCGTCGGAAACGGCGAGCTTCCCGCCGGCGCTGGCGCATGTCCCGCATACGACGCCTGTATCCAACCTCGAGACCTTCAAGGATGGTCTCGCGGCACATGGCGATGACCACGCCGATGTTGATGACGCCGAAGAGGATGTATACGCAGGTCCACACTCGCGCGCCTGTACTTTTGGGCACGATGTCGCCAAATCCAATGGTTTCGATGGAGACGACGGAGAAGTAGAGGCCATTGATGAAGGTTAGGTGGAGGAGGATGGAGTTGATCAGGGCGCCGAACGCGATGTAGACGAGGAGCACAATGACGACGATCATGAGGGAGCGCTGCTTGCGCGTGAGTCCGCTCCCTGTTGGCACCACGTATATGCTTCAGTGCAAATAAGTGTGTAATTCAATGAGCAGTTTTACCTCGTCTAGCGAAATCAGGAGTGCGAACGAGATCGACTATCAGGCTGATATTGCTGATTGTAGACGCAATGGTAGAACAGAGTGTCATCCAGAAAGCCTCTCCATAAGTGAAGCCGTCGTCGAAGCGATGTTCGACACCGAAGATAGTGACCGTGATGATATTAATTATGTCTGCTTGCAATTAGCCAACCATGAAAAGACATATGAGCCCACCAAGACGTACCGTGTACTGTTAGGGATACTATGCAGAGGAGCGTAACTGTCTTGACGCGTTTCTCAAGAAACCGAAGCACAAGAGATACGTTCGCGATGAGAGCACAGATTATAGAGATCACCATGCCGACTTCTAGGATGACTGGATTTTTCCTCTTTTCGACTGTTTGGTGATTTTGCGTTCTGATGTACCAGTCCTCGGTGAGGCCAGGGATCTCTAGGAGAATAGAGAAGGGGATCACGATTCCCGACAGGATAGGTGTCCACCGGTAGTTCGGAGCGAGCTTGTCTACATCGTTGCTGTCGTCGTCAGTTGGCCATACATACGACTTTATCCGCGTATACAGCGAGACTCCCGAGACAGTGAGATCCTCGGACGCCGCGCCGCTACGAATGGGTCGAGATAACGGATGCGCGAACTTCTGGTACACGCGATGGAGGGGACGGCGAGGCGTGTCCGCGCCCGAAATACCGCGAGCGCCTGCGCCCCGTGCAAGGTGCTCTTGAGCGGGCTGCTGCAGAGTGGCAGAGCGGGGTCGTCCTACATCGTCGTCGCTACCTGCAGCTTTCTCTGGATCAAGTGCACCCCGGGTAGTACGTGTGGGGAGAAAGGCTGGGAGCAGAATGGTGAACACTCCGAGAAGACCCATGATTCGACGATTGGATGGATGTGGGCGGGTATATAGGTCGCGGGGTCAGCGCTGCGGCCGGACCATGAAATGTCAGTATAACTGCCATCATCATACGATGTGTAGGAGGAGGCCTACCTCAACAAAGACCCATGGCGAACGCAATGCAGGGGATATGTCTCGAGAAGTAGGATGTGGAGGGAAAGCCGCGGCGTGTCAATCAATGCCTTCTATAGCTAGCAGTGGCCTGCGTGCGCGTTTGAGAACACGGCGGCTCCACAACGTGCGCGTATGCTTACTGGGAATTTCCAAGACCCGACCGCTGGTGTATGGAGATGATGGCGAGAGGAGAGCGTGATACAGCCGGAAGCACACGAACAGGCCCTGAGCCTCAGGGTCTCGAGGCGAGTGGGGCACAACAAATCTGCTATAAACGCCTATATGAACGCATACTTGCCTCCATCAGCGCCCACATCCCGATCCATCTCGCTGGCGCCTAACCACAATCTTCCGCCTTTCGACCGCCTCTGAGTGCCTTTCCGCAATTTCTCGCGTCCCGAAACAACCCTAAAAGTGCTCTGTGCTCCGAAGCAAAACAAAGTGACCACCGCAGGGGTCGAACCTGCAGTCTCCTGATTACATAAGCTTGCAGGGTTAGCCCTTGCAAGATCGTAGTCAGACGCGTTGCCATTACGCCAGGCGGCCGTTGTGAGCGCTGGCTGTCAGCATGATATCACGTTAAGACGTCAAACCCGGCCCGTGATCAGTACTCTCCAGATTCCCTGGAGATCCTGAATCTCTCCCTTGTCCCGCTCGTATCTCAATCACTCTAAAACCCATCGCTCACGCACCATGTCGCTCGAAAAGTACCAGACAGAACTCATCGAGCACGGCATGTCCGTCGGTGCTCTCAAATTTGGGACCTTTACTCTCAAGTCTGGCCGGTCCGTCACACATCCTCCTCCATGCCGCTCGTTTGACCGCCCCTCACATCCTCGCGCGATCTTCCACCAGCACCTCCCCGTACTTCTTCAACGCTGGTCTACTCGCATCTGGCCCTGTGCTTAACACGCTCTGCTCTGCGTATGCTGCGACGATTGCCAACGCGCTCAAGTCCTCCCCTGGTCTTCCCGAGTTCGACATCCTCTTCGGCCCGGCGTACAAGGGCATTCCGTTCGCCGCGGGCACCGCCATCCTCTTGCATCGCGACCATGGAATCGACGTCGGCTTCGCGTACGACCGCAAGGAGGCCAAGGACCACGGCGAAGGCGGGATCACCGTCGGCACGCCCGTCAAGGGCAAGCGTGTCCTCGTCTTGGACGACGTCGCGACTGCGGGCACAGCGATCCGCGCGACCATCGACACTGTGAAGCGTGAGGGCGGAGAGGTTGTGGGCGCGATCCTCATGCTTGATCGTCAAGAAGTCGGGAAGGAGGGCAGAAGTAGCATCGCAGAAATCGAAGAGCTCCTCGGCGGCAAGGGACGCGTCCCGACGATTCTGAAGATGAAGGACCTCATGCGCTGGTTGCAGGAGCACGGCCGGACAGAAGAGCTTGCAAAGATGCAAGAATACTGGGAACAGTACGGAGCAAAAGAGAGTGCTTGAGTATGGGCGAAAAGGATAGGCACATACTCCTCGATACTTAGTTATAAGGAGAATTGACGACGACAGGTAAACAAGGCTGTAAAACAGGTGCGCATTACCTCTGCACATTGCCGAAACGTCACTCACCTTCGCTAAGGTGTAACGCTATGTATTGGCAGATATAGACATGGTTGAAGACTCACGATCACTGTTATATGTCCACGGATAACTCTTTGCTTCTTTATATTTTGCACGGATATTTGGCATCTGGCTTCCGCTTGACTCACCATAACGATATTCGACTCCTCTGCCGTACCATGGGAGCACGTTTCACCGGGGACCACACATTTTATAGCCGTTTTGATTGATGAATATATAGCATACAGGCAGCATTGACCTGTCAAGAAGTACACAATTCATAAGAAGGGGTCACGCTGAGAGTCTAAGTTTGCTCACCATCATGACACTCGGGTTTGCCTTACTCTCCCAGCCTACGTCCTGAGCCCCAGTTGTGTCCCCTTATACCAGCCGCCGCAGCGGCTTCCTCCCGCATTCTCCTCGGAGGAACAACATGCACGCCTCCACCGATATCCGCGGCAGCCGCAGCACCGCCCGGCGGAGCAAGGAAGGCCTGCAACCACGCAGGCGCGGTGCCCACTGACCTGAGCGCACCAGTGTCCCAGACGCCCCACCACCACAGATGGCCAACGACGGCGCCTGAGACGCTTATGGCTGCTGCACCGGGTCCGCCCATGAGCAGGTCGAGGCCTACCAGCATGTACGGGAGGTAGATGAGCGGGAACGTGATGAGCCCGAAGAAGGATGTTTGAGAGCCTGGTGGTGACAGGCGCGAGGAAACGTAAATGAGCGCGATGAGGAGCGCGCGGGTGTGCACGAATGTGCCGAGCGGGATGTTCAGAAGCTGGGGGACTTCAGTGGGTGCGTTGTACGCCAGGAAAGGTCAAAACATACGAGGATGGCGACGGCTGCAAGGAATAGTTGCCATGCATAGTCCGCAGAACGTCGGGCAAAGTGTTTTGACTCCAGCTCGTCTGAATTCCGACTGTATGGCGGGATATCTTCAGCACCAGTAGCTGTTCAGCATGAGTTACAGTACCACGTACTATAGCATCGCGAAGTCAAATATGAAGTTGATACCCGAGCCTGTTAACATGTCAGATTCGTTCTCAGGTCATTCGCACCAGCCAAGGCGTACTCACTTCCCATGAAGAAGCTCGTGAAGATTCTCCAGATCTAATAACGCGATTGAGTTGTCAGGCAACCAGTCCACACTAACGTATGTGTCCCGTCATCGGCCAAGGCTTGGTTGCCCGGTACAACGCAGGCAGTCTCCACCGAATCATATGGAATGCAACTCACCTCCAACTTTTGTATTACAAACTCCTTCACGAATATGATCTTGTACGGATGTACAAGCTGCAGCAAGACGGGTATCGTCACCGCCAGCGAAGCTGCGCATACAAAGCGCGTCACAGGCGGTATCTTGCGGATTTCTTCCATGAACGACATAGTTGAGCAGAGTTATTACAAGTACAGCAAGCCAACAGAGGACCAGAGAGAGAGTAAGAGAGAAAACACGAGCGGTGAGAAGAGTAAGCACTGAAGAGGAGGTGCAAGAGTTACGATGATCTCACCGCCTGGCGAGACCACGTATACGCTACCGCGGTCACGTGCGAGAACCCGGCGCGTCGCGTCGCGTGTCTTCTCGACGATTCCTCAAGTTGCAGGTCTGCCTCGCAACATCCAAGGTACAGGAGGGGGGGGGGGGGGTTCGCATATGTAGTTGTGTGTACCACAAACTTGCTAGTCACAGATATTACAGCCGAGCCAACCCCTTTGCCGGTTCGTCGACCGCAAGCACACAAAGCAGCGCTCCTTCTCCGATGATGCTTCCGACTTCTATTCCCCTACCCACCCTCGCGACCCGGCCGCTCGCAGGAGACTTGACGACATTCTCCATCTTCATCACACTAACCACGACCAATGTCTCTCCTTCGCCCACAGGCCCATTCCCCTCCGTGCCCTGCAGAGCCGGATGAAGTTCCACGATTTTGCCCGCGATAGGAGATGCGACATGCATGGGGTCTCGGGGATCTGCGAATTCGGTCTGCGAAGATGTCGAGATAGATGAGAGTTGCCTGAGTGAGAATGACATCGGTGCAGGTACGAGGGATGTGCTGATCGTCCCGGAGAGTTCGTTGGGGAATGCGTTATGGCCGATGGATGACAACACTACGTTGTGACGTTGCTGCCCCTCGTTGTGCCCAGAAGGAGTTAACAAGAGCTGGAGAGAGGTTCCTGGTTGAAGAAGGATCGTTCCCGCTGCGCTCTTTGGCTCATCATTGATGCTATGAGCTAGTGCATTCGTCCGAGAGGCCTCTTGACCTTGACTTCGTCGGAGGTGCTTCCTTCCCAGCTGCAGCACTTCATCGACATTGTCCTCCAGCCATCGCGTATAGAGAATCCCACCAGACCAACCCGGATGAGCCACTACTCCTGCTAGTAGCTCCACGTTGGTCTTCACCACCCCTCGGACACGGGTTTCGCGCAACGCTCGCAATGCGCGCGCCGTCGCCTCACCGAACGTTCCCGCATGCACAATGATCTTTGCAAGGAGAGAATCAAAATCCACGCCTACTGACCACGGCCCACCAGGCACGTTCGTACGCGACCAAGGACCAGTACACAGCCATGTGTCCACGCGTACCCCTCGTCCGCTGGGCCATAGAACGTCGGGGGCGGAGATGTTCCCTGTCGAGAGACGGAAGCACGATTGGGGATCTTCGGCAACCAAACGAAGTTGAATGGCATGCCCTTGAGGAATAGGCGGCGAAATTGCATACGTCGGAAGGGCCGAGGCAAGCGATACGCCAGGGAGAGACAAGAGTAATTGTACTCGTATCAAGTCCAGGTTCGTGATCTCCTCTAGAGACATTGGATAAGCATGAGCACCAGTCAATATATGGCCCTCTGCATACCAGTGACTGTATGTTCGACTTGTACCCTCGGATTAATCTCGAGGAATATCCACTCGTGCGATGCGCCATCCATGAGGAATTCGAACGTCCCCAGCCCTGCGTAACGCAGGTGCTGGGCCATCTTGAGCGCGGCCTCGATGAGTGGGCCTACCGCCTCACGCGAAAGCGTGGATGGAGCCATCTATGCCACATGCATCAACATAGTGTGCAGGGACGACTATTGCTTGTGCGGTGATATCATACCTCTACCAGTTTCTGAAACCTGAGTGGATGAGCCTTTCTCGCCTTGGGACAGAGTGAGGAATACGCCTACCTCCTTTGGACGTTGCACTCTCTTTCCCAGAGATGCGTTACATTGCCATGACCATCCCCCACGATTTGTACTTCGATGTGCCGCCAATCAGGTCCAATGAACGCCTTCTCCGCGAACACTTGGTGCGATGCGCTTTCGCCGACACACCTCCGGAAGGCATCTTCGATCTCTTCATGCGCATATACCAGGCGGATTCCACGCCCACCGCCGCCATCCAAGGCTTTGATAATCACTGGGAATGCGCTAGTCCCCAGGCCGTCGATGAAGCGGCGCACGTCTTCGGCGGAGGATACGTGAACTCCGGGTGCAACAGGCACGCCCTGCGAAGTCGCCAGGGAACGTGACCGCATCTTGTCAGAGGCAATTTCAAGCGTGTCCACAGAGGGCCCAACGAAGGTGATGGCATCCTCTGTCTGAAAGAGGGAGGCAAACTTTGGGCTCTCACTGAGAAACCCATAGCCAGGGTGGATGTGGGTGCAATGCGTGCTAAGCAGAAAGGTTAGTCTCTCTTTCTGCAGCCAGAATAACTCATAAACACTTACCGTCTTGCAATATCTGCAATATGTTTCGGGTCCATGTATCGAGCAGGCGAGTCTAAGAGAACCACCTCTTCAGCAAAGGATGCATGAGAGGAGTCCCCCTCCGTGTACAGTGCAACTGTGTGCCATCCCAACTCAGATGCAGATCGCAATATGCGAATAGCAACTTGTGTGACAATACGAACGAGATATTCACGTCAGCGATATTATCGATATTACAACCGGTACCGTGTGTTTACACTCACTTTCTCCGCGGTTTGCTACGAGTA